GAGCTCCAGGAAAAATAAAATAAAAGGGGTGGTTAAGAACAAACACTGCTCTTGCAGAGAACCACAGGAGCAGCTCACACCGCCTGTAACTCCAGCTCCAGGGATTGCAATGCCCTTTCACACACACACACACACACACACACACACACACACACACACACACACACGTAGACCAGACTGTCCTGGAACTCACAGAGATCCCCCTGCACTTGCCTCCTGAATTCTGAGATTAAAGGCGTTCACCACCACCACCTGGCATAAATAAACCTTTTAAAAATTAATTTAGCAGGACATGGTGGCAGCCACCTGGCATTCTAGCAGTCTCTAGTTTGAGGCAGAGGACTGTTGAAATCTGAGCCCAGCATGGGTTATACAGACCCTGTATGAAACAATAAATTGTTAAATTATTTTAAATACTATTTTTAATTTCTCCTTCTTTTCTCTTTTCTTTTTTTTTTTTTGGACAGGGTTTCTCTGTGTAACAGCACAAGCTGTCCTGGAATTAGCTCTGCCTCCCCAATGCTGGGATTAAAGGTGTGGTCAACACTGCTGGCCTATTTTTAATTTCTTTAAAAATTATTTTTTTTATTACACTTATTCTGTGTGTGTCATGACACTCATGTGGAGGTCAGAGGGCACTCGGCAAGAGTCAGCTCTCTTCTTACCAGTCTGACCAGCAGGCTGAACTCAGGCCGTCAGGCACACTCACAAAAGTATTCACGGAGCCATTCTGCCATCCCAAATGCTCATAATTTCTATAAAAACTATGAGGTGTAATTTGACTCAGTTCCTCGTTGTGGTGTCCCTTCTCCCCACCTCTAGCCTCCAGAGACCAGTGGCCTTGGAGCAAGAGTCAGACCCACACTGGGGGAGGGGGTCATAAAGAGTATGGCTGAGGTACTCAGGGCAGCCAGAAGCTAGGCTGGCATTCTTTCATGGCCGTGCTACCTTTATGCAGGTGTTCCCACGACCCCAGTACAATCGACCCAGCTGATCCTCCTACTCAGTTTCCTTTTTTTTAAGTTTAATTATTTATTATGTATACAGTGTTCTGCCTGCATGTATACCTGAACACCAGAAGAGGGAGCCAGATCTCACTACAGATGCTTGTGAGCCACCATATGGTTGCTGGGAATTGAACTCAGGACCTCTGGAAAGTGCTCTTAACCTCTTAACCTCTGAGCTATCTCTCCAGCCCCTCAGTTTCCTTTTATATATATATGGGGTGCACCTCAGCCTGGAAATGTACCTTCTTCCTGTCCACAGAATAGCCCCTCGTTCCTTGGCCTTGGTCCTGTCTGTGTTCAAGCATCTCACCACAGTCTGCAGACAAAGAGGAAGCAAAACTGGCCAGGCTTTTTTTTTTTTTAAATATTTATTTATTTTATATGTATGGTGTTTGCCTGCATATGTGTCTGTGTACCATATATGTGCCTAGTGCTCAAGGAGGCCAGAAGAGGCCATCAGATTCCTTGGAACTGGAGTTACAGATGGTTGTGAGGGGCCATTTGGATGCTGAGAACTGAACCGTGGTCTCTGGAAGAGCAGTCAGTGCTCTTCAGCCCCAGCTGGGCTTTTAAGATAGATGCTGGGTCTCAGCTCCCAGGAGAGTCACCATCTGATGAGAGCAGCGGCAGGAGACGTGCTCTGCATCTCTTGCCATCAGCAATGCCTTGGATGGGAGAGTCCAGAGTTCAGATCCCATCCTTGCCACTTTCTCACTGAGTGGCTCCAGTCTTGGCTTTTCTGAGCACAGCTGGCCTGCCTTACAAAACTGGCATCATCTTATATCTGGGGATGTATGAATATTAAATGGGCAAGCCCTAAGCTCTGGCCTCAAAACTACGAAACCTGTGGAAGACAGCCGCTTTCCGTGAGCCTCACATCTTGTTTGTTTGTCTATTTATTGTGTGTGTGCTTGGTCTGAAGAACAAATTATACAGCTCTAGAACAGTATCATGGACAGTAAGTGCCTCTGAACTAGAACTCAAAACTGTAAGCTGTCCCACTCCTGCTAAGCACCTTTCTATGGCACCCCAGTGCCCTCGGGTACAAAGCCTCTCACCATGTTCTTCAGGGACCCGTGTGCACTCTGTGGATCACTACCCACTACTGAAGCTCCAGTTCCCGAGTCTGCATTCTTGTCACCGGGTCTCTAGGTCCCCGAACTCCAACGCAGCAAGTTTCACGGCCCGTGTTCCCACAGACCTCCCTCCTGATATGTCTCCAGGCTGTCTCACTAGCTCTCCCAAATCTGCTCCTTTTTGTCTTTTTTCATTTGGGACAGGATCTCACTATGTAACCAAGGCTGGTCTTGAACCTGGGATGTTTCTTCCTGGCCTTAAAGGTGTCCAGGTTCCTGTGTCAAGGACACTGTTGATTGAGGTGGCACGCGCTTGTAATCGCAGCAGTTAGGAGGCAGAGGCAGGGGAATCAGGAGTTGAAGGAGTATGGGGCTAACCTGGGCCATATGAGATCCTTCCTCAAAAAACAGATGGGGAAACGTATTTTAGTTTGCTGTCATCGCTTATGGCTGCCATTCTAGCACTTTGGAGGTAGAAGGAGGAGGGTTGGAGGATTGGGAGTTCAGGGCCTTTTCTTTCCCCTCCTTCTCTCCCTACCTTCCTTTCTTCCTCTTTCTTTTCTTTTTTTTTTTTTTTTTTGACAGCGTTTCTATGTGTAGCCCTGGCTGCCCTGCAACTCTGTAGACCAGGGTGGCCTATACTCTGATACCCGCCAGCCCCTGCTTCCCATGCTGTTACCATCTTCTACCTAGTTTTCAGGGTCTTCAATTCTTAGCCTAAGTGTCACCACTTATTCAGTCCTGGGACTTGTCCCAGATCCCGTGTGTCTACTTGGGCCCCTGAGGATCTGGTCCTACTTTGACCTGGCCTTATCCACCAGGCTCCTCCTCACTCCAGCCACCTCCCTAGGTCCCCACTCTTCGTCAACCTTCCAATGCCCTACCCATCTGAAATAATTTGTACTTCTGCTCAAAAGCTCTGTGGCTCCCTCAAGTCCCTAGAACAAAGTCCCAGCCACTTCCTGTAGCCCCAGGGCCTTAAATGATGCCCTCATCCCCACCTCGTGAGCCGGCAGCTTACTCCCTCACCACCCTTCACACCTCCTAAGCACTGGGTTTGCAGACTCACTGCTTGTGTGGTCACGGTGTGCATTCCGCAGACGAGAAAGTAGGGATTGTTGAGGCATGATTTGGTGGCCAGGGTTATGCACGGGTTTAGGGGTAAAGTTGGGACCCTGGCATACCCTAGGCTTTAATACCACACTGCAAAAATCTGAACAACATGTACCCATGGAGGAAGAAAGCTGGGTGGCTACTTGTGGGGAGTGTTGGAGTCAGGAGATACAGAGGGCAACTGTCAGGGGAGAGACGGAGACACTAGGGCAGTATGAGTGTCATCTAAGGGGAGATGGAGCCAGGAACGATGGGAATTTAGGGTTTTATGGAGGAGAAATGACAAGAGAGATGTGTGGGTGATTAAGATGGTGCTAGTAAGAGATTGGCTCAGCATGCCTGTAATTCCTGCACTCAGGAGGCTGAACACAGGGATCAAACATTCAAGGCCAGTCTGAGATGCAGATGAATTTGAGATCAGTTTGGGTTACAATGAGACCCTATCACATAAATAGAGAAAACTGTACATTTAGGACCAGTCAGGGCTTAAAGAGAATAAAAACGAGTAAGAAGGTGATGTGCTGGAGATGGCTCAGCAGCTAACAGCACTTGTTGCTCTTCCAGAGGGCCTGAGTTAGAAAGTCAGTACCCGGATTCGGCGACTCACAACCATTTGTAATTGCAAATGCCTGGAATCTGACATCTTCTCATCTCCTCGGGCTACTGCAGTCGTGTATCTGTGATACACAAATAATTAAAAACAAAAAATTTTTTAAAGGGGAGGCGATGTAAGGAAGGTCCTGGCGACAGAACTGGGGGGCGGTGGTGACGATTTAAGTGGGGTCCGACTTAAGAGAACGAATGTGGGCACCTAAGGACGACAGAAGAGAGATGCATTACAGACGAGAGGGTGACACAGGGACAGCAGCAGAAGCGTCACGACCCCAGTTCGCACCGTACCTGCACTCCACAGCTCCTACTCCAGAACCCAGCCCCGCCTTCTTGCCCAACTATGCGCAGGCGCACTTGGCTAGGATGCGGGCGGGGCAGGGGCCTACCTGAGCATTTCTGATTGGCCGTAGTTGGTGAGGAGGAGGAGCCCGGGAGACTGCGTGGCCTCACGTGACAGCGATCGACAGCACTCTCTCGCTGGTTGGCGGCTACGAGGGCTAGAGCGGCCAGGTGGGCGGGCCAGTCAGATCCGGTATCAAGGACCGGACTTCCGGGGCGGGCGGCCCAGGCGGTGGGAGGAGTGGCTGACAGTTGGCGCGACCCGGAGGGCGGGCAGGCGGCTCGTGGGGGTGCGGGCCCGCGGGGCCAGGTGAGGTGCGGGCCTGGGTGGCGGGACTGGGTTGGAGGAGGCTGGGGATGGAGATGCAGAGTGACCAATGGTCTGGAGTCCCAGTGCGGACCACACTGTACGACCAGATAAGTGATTTCTTTTTCCGTGTCTCAGTTTCCTTCTCTGTACAATGGGGCCCGAAGCAAACTGTAGTACCCTTTAAATGGGACGCCAGCTCGTGCACGCCACGGCTGCTCCCAGAGCTCCCGTCGTTGTTCTTCCATCCTTGTTAGAGCTGATGATGGGTACCTGCACGGGAGATAGCCGGGCTAGCAGGGTTCGAATCTCAGCACCCTGTGCAGCACTAGGACTGTGTCTTTACCTCTCGGAACCCTAGTTTCCTCTGCACAATGATAGTCTCAGCTTCGTAGGTTCATCGTGCAGGTTTTGATGAATGTCTTTGGCAAACCAAGAGCTCAGTAGATTGGGATTGTAGTAGCTGGGAGTCCCAATAAAATACAAGGGAAGTCCAGAAAAAGCAAGGAAACAGCCGGGAAGATCGACACCCTGATATTTGCTGAGTATTGAAGTAGAGATTTAAAGTACTAACAGATGCATGTTCCTCAATTTAAAAGGGGAAATTTACATCGTTATCCTACTTGGGAAATTAACATTGCTTGCCAGGAGAAGGAAAACTTAACTTAAAATACAATAGTAATAGACCAATCTCTTCAGTGTGGGCAGTAAATGAAAGATATTTGAAAACTGGACGATTTATTTATTTATTTATGAGACTGAGTTTTTCTATGCAGCCCTGATGATTGATTGATTGATTGATTGATTTAGAGACCGAGTTTTTCTATGCAGCCCTGATGATTTCTTTATTTATTTATGAGGCCGAGTTTTCCTATGCAGCCCTGATCATTATTTATTTATTTATGAGACCGGGTTTTTCTATGTAGACCAAGCTGGCCTCCAGTTCACAGAGATCCACCTGCCTCTGCCTCTGCCTCCGCCTCCCAAGTGCTAGGATTAAAGGTGTGATCCACAATGTCCGGCTGGCTAAATAGTCATACTTGTTGCCCATCTCACTCTTGTATGCAACTAACATTGGGTTAGGTCCACAACTCTCTAGTTTAGTTAAGATTTAACTTAATATACTTACTATGTGCCATACATAGTTGTAGTTTGCACAGTCTATCCCCCAACACCTTTTTAATTTTTTAATTAATTAATTGGTTTTTTTCTTTTAAGATGGTTTCTCTGTGTAGTTTTGGAGGCTGTCCTGGAACTTGCTCTGTAGACCAGGTTGGCCTCAAACTCATCGATCTGCCTGCCTCTGCTTTCCAAGTGCTGGGATTAAAGGCGTGCGCCACCACCACTGGGCTTAAAATTTCTAAAAAGATAGGTTTTATTATGTGGATGTGTGTGTTAGGTCAGAGGAAAACTTGACCTGGTGGCCTTTACCTTGCCTCTGAGAACACCTTTAAAGACTTTCCATCCTTCATGGACACTGCGGAATTTGTGTGGAGATTAGGACAGCCTTTGAGAGTCAGTGCTCTCCATTACATGGGACGGGACTTCTGTGGTCTGAGTTGGAGGCAGGCAGGCCCCCTTGAGTAGGTTATCTTATCTTTTTTTTTTTTTTAAGTATTTGCTAGGCACATGCTCCGCCATTGAACAGTTTCCCAGCCCTGGACTTTTTGAGGTAGGGTCTCTTTGTGTAGCACACCTGGCCTGGAACTCAAAATTTCAGCCTCAGTTTCCGAGTTTTGGGATTACAGCTGCCTGCTGGTGTGATGGGTAGCAAGACCATCGTTTAGATGGCTTTGAGAGGTGAGTCCCAGAAAAGTATAGCAAAACCAGACCTCGGTCTAAGCTCCCCGCCCCCTCCCTTTATTTCTCCACTCCTCTTGGTTTCTTTGAGACAGGGCCTTGGTATTTAGCCTTGGCTGTCCTCAAATTCTTGGAGCTTCTACCGCAGCCTCCAATACCATGCTCTTGATTCAAGTCTCCTAAGGACATAAAAGCATCTGGACTCTTGTAAATGGTAATTCCTTGAGTTTTAAACATGTTAATTTTGTCAATTTTCACTATTCAGAAAGAGATGAACTTGTAAAATATTAATCTGTGTGTGTGCCCATGCTCATTTGTATGTATGCTCATGTGCAGGTGTGTGCGTGTGTGTGTGTACATCATGCCTGTGGATGCCAACCCAGTCCTTCTTTACCTTATGTTTGAGTCAGGGTCTCTGATTCAATGTGCAGCTCATGCATTTGGGCAGACAGGCTGGCCGGCCACCGAGCTCCAGGGATCCTCCTGTTTTCCCCTCCTCCATGCTTGGCTTTATAAGAAGTAGGTGGTGGGGATTTGAACTCAAATCTTATGCACAAGACTGACTGAGCCACCTCCCCAGCTGGGGAGATGAACTTTTTAAAAAGAGGATTCATTTATTTTTCTGCATATGTGTATTTACTGGCCTGTGCGTGTTTGCACCATACACATGCTTGATGTGCTGGGAGCCCATGCTGTTGGATCCCCTGGGACTGAAGTTACAGGTGGTTGTGGCCTGCTGTGTGAGTACTGGGAACCAAACCAAAGCAAGGAGCTGTGTTAACCCCTGAGCCACCTCCCTGGCCCCTGGAAATGGATTTTTAAGATAGTAGGGAGAAGAAGCTCCATGCCTGGAAGGTAGAGGCAGAAAGATGATGAATTCATGACCAGTTTGACTAATTCAGGAGACTCAGTTTCACCAAACTAAAATAGGCAAAATGGTGTTAGGGAGCTGAAACTGAGTCGACAGCGACTTCACTGCCCTAGGGAATTCTGGTTTAGGATTAAGTGAGGCTTTCCAAGGAAAGGCTGGTTATGCCTGCTGTGTAGCAGTCCCTCGGTCGGTCTCCAGTCAATGGACTGACCTGAGTTCAGTCCTGGCCCTGCGGTGAACCTGCTGTGTTTTCTTGGGCTTACCATGCTCTTCGTCTTTAACTTTATTTCCTCTTTTTGCTCATTTTTCTTCTTCCCAGGCTCACCATGCAGAACCACTGAGATGTGCATATTCCCAGTTCCTGGCACAGAATAAACACTCGCGAGGACCTGCTCCATGGGCTTCGGAATCAGAGAGAACTCGCTTCGGAATCTCAGAAAGGTCAGAGTACATGTGATACTTGGCAAGTGACTGTTCCTTGCTGAGTCAGGTGTGGTTTTTAATTGACGAGAACGGAACTAATAATAGTCTTCCCCTGTGAGGCTGTTGGAAGGCATCTTTGTGGTGCTCTGACCTGGTGGCTACTTGGTGCTTGGTATGTGACATGTCCTGACTTTCTCAGAGATGTTTCTTGTACTGTTATTGGTGTCAGATCCAGAACTTGCTGTATAGGAAGGCTAGCCTTGAACTTCTGATCCCGAGTGCTGGGACTGCAGGTGTGTGAACCTGGTGTGTATGGTGCTGGTGATTGAGCCCAGAGCTCACTTGTGCTAGGCAAGTACTCATCCAATGAATTACCCCTGTAGCCCCACCTACCTATCGAGACTGGGTCTTGCTGTACAACCCAGGCTGGCCTTGAACATGCTATGTAGCTTGTTCAACCTCCTTAAACAATTGATCATCTCAGTGAAAATTGGTTTTCCATTCCTTTGGAGCCTCTTAGGGTCTGGTACCCCCTTCCACTCCATCCCCTTCCAGTCTGGCTCTTAGGCACACTGGAGGAGCTTCTGGCTTAGGGCACTAGCTCATTGTCCCCTTTTCTGGAACACTCTTCCTCTAAAAGAACCACACACTCACTGACCCTCCCCCAGGTCTTGGCAGATCAGCCTCTTGGACCGGCTCCCGCCCTTCCCCGGCCATCCATGCCTTCTCCACAGCCACTGCCTTTCTAGCTGTTTGGTTTGCTGTCTGTCCCCTGCTTCTCTGCCCCCAACTGGGCTCCATGGTTTTGTCCTCCTCAGGATGGTGAAGTATCTTCCACATTGAAGGTTCTTGGGAAACCTGTTTGTTTGTTTATTTATTTTGCTGAGGACCAGACCCAGCCTTGCATATGCTAGGCCAAAATTTTGTCACTGAGCTACATACCAACTAAATCTTTTGTTTTATGTTTGATGCAGAGCTTATGTATCCTAAGCTGGCCTCAAACTCATTAACCTCCTGTCTCAAGTCTTCTGAATGCTGGGATTTCAGACACTCTACCCTGCCTAGTTTCTGTCTTGTGTTTGAGAAAGAGCCTCACACTGGATATGATGGCATACTCATTTAGTCCCAGCAATGCGGGGTGGGCAGAGACGGGATCTCTGAGTTCAAGTCCAGCCTGTTCTACAGACTGAGTTCTAGGACAGCTAGAACTGTCAACATCCAAACAAACAAATAGAAAAGGCCTCGTTTGTAGCCTGGGCCATCCCCCTGCCTCAGTTTCCTGAATGGTGGGTGGCAGGTACATGCCACTGTGGCTGACTTAGGGAGTTTCCCTTGAGCTGTGAGTGGGGCCACTGTTCTAGCCGGACCTGTCATGGTCTGAGGAATGGAAGCTTTGGCATTGGCCTTCTGTGCTGGTACCTTTATGTCAACCTGCCAGGGTCATCTGGGAGGAGGAATCTCAGTTGAGAAAATGCCTGCATAAAATTAGCTTGTAGGCAAGTGTGTGGTGCATTTTTTTCCTTGATGATTGATGTGGGACGGCCCAGCCATGGTGGTGTGTGGGTAGTGCCATCCCTGGGCATGTGGTTGTGGGCTTACAAGAAAACTTGACTGAGCAAGCCATGGGAGCAAGCCAGTAAGCAGCACCACTCTGTGGCCTCTGCATCAGTTCCTGCCTCCAGGTTCCTTCCTTGAGTTTCTGCCCTGACTTCCCTCTAAGATGGACTACAAGCTGTAAGATGAAATAAACCTTTTCCTCTCCAGTTTGCTTCTTGTCCTGGTGTTTATTACAGCAATGGAAAGCCTAGCTAGGACACCATCTTTGAGCTCCTCCCCAGGCAAAGCCGATAGCTGCTATGGCAGCTCTGTTCCAGGCTGACGTCCTGCCAGCTGCTTCAGGCTATTCTTGGGTCGTGAGCCCCTAGTCCAGGAATGCTCCTCTGGCAGGCAGGCCGGCAGCACCGGGAGCCTCAAGCTCTCCGTGGGTCGACAAATGGGACCTCTCCTTCTATCTTCCAGGCTCCAGGAAGCAGAGTCAAGGCCAGAGAGACGATGGTCTCAGTGACTATGGGTGAGTCTGGTTTCCCTGCAGGGCCCTTGTGCCCTCCTTTCTGGGGGTATGGTCTGGGTATAGAAAGATGGAGCAGGAGGGTTGGAAACAGGCAGGAACAGCTGTGCTCTCCTGAGGTGGGGGCGGGGCTGGAGCCTGCCTGTGTTCTTGAGTTGGGCCTGCTGCATTAGGAGTTTGGCCTGGAGAACTTCGTAAGACCCTCTGGTCCATGCTCCACCTGGCCTGCTAGAGCCTCAATTTTTCTACCTGTGAGTTAGAGATGGTAATCCTGCCACCTGGATTAAAGAGATTACCGTATGTTGAATCTTGGGTGCATTTCTCAACAGATGTTATTTGTGCTTGCTGGGAGACAGCCCCAGATTATCTCTCTACTCTCTGTCCTGAGACATAGGCTCAGGCTAACCTGCTACTCCTGGAGCCAAGGATGACCTTGACCTCTTCACCTTTCTGCCTTTTCCTCCAGTGCTGGGGTCATAGGCACTACCACCAGCCTGGTTAGCTTACTTGCTCCTTCTCTTGCTCTTAGTTTTTTTGGTAGAGGGAGACGTAGTCTCCATATGTGTCCCAGGCCACTTTCAGTCTTCCTGCCTTAAGCTCCTGAGTGCTGGGTTATAGCTGTGTGCCAGCACACCCAGATCCCCCGCTCTTTTTAGGTTGTCTGTTGGGATTGTCAAGGCACAGAGATCACATGGTGACTTAGGAAAATGTTGAGATCTCTTGCACATGTACGAAAATCCATAGCCAGGCAATGGTGGCTCATTCCTTTAATCCCAGCACTCAGGAGGCTGAGACGGTTGGATCGCTGAGTTTGAGGCCAGCCTGGTCTACAGAGAGAGTTCCATCAGGGCTACACAGAGAACCCTGTCTCAGGAAAAAAGAAAAAGAAAAAAAGGAAAATTCATAAAATATATTTGTATAGAATTAAAAGCAACTAAAAGACAAACATTTAGCAGGGCCCAGGCTTTGAGTCTACATAAACAAAACCATGCAGTATATAATGATGTGTGCCTTTATATAACATGTAACTGAGAGCACCTGTGGGGCTAAGCATAACTAGTGTCTTTCCTTTTTAATGCTGTGTAGTATTTCACACGTTTGTTTACGGATGTCACTGTCAAGGGATATTGCTTAGGGCTTGAGGTGTAGCTAAGTGGTAAAGCACTTGCCTAGGATTCCCTGTGAGGGACTTGGGATATAACTCAGTGTTATGGTTTACTGAGGGCAGGAGGAGGGGCTCTCAGAGCTAGAATAGAGCCCTTAAACTGCCATTCATAAGGCCTGGCCCATCCTCAGCACTGAAGATAGGCATACAGTAAAAGGATATTGTTTTGTTCTGGGATAGACGTCTGCAGTGTATATTCTTGACAATTTCTCTTGAGGTTACTAGGTAACCTCATCCAGCCTGAGTCTAAGATACACTTTTACGAAATGTAACATTTCTGAATAGTGGCTACATTTTTGTTTGTTTGTTTGTTTGTTTGTATTTGGAGACAATGAGCCACCCTGTATTTCTCCTGATCATTCAAGGTGTATCCCAGAGTTGTCTCAAACCCACCACTTCAGCTTCCTGAGTTCTGGGATTAAAGGCTCGCACTACCACCTGTGGCCTAAATATTTCTTTTCATTTTCTTTTTTGGTTTTTCAAGTCAGGGTTTCTCTGTAACAGCCCTAGCTTTCCTGGAACTTGCTGTTTACACGCGGCTGGCCTTGAACTCTCAGAGATCCACCTGCCTCTGCCTCCTGAATACTGGGATTAAAGGCATGAACCACCACCACCCAGTGGCCCAAGTATTTCTTAATGGCCACTGGTTTATGACAGCTCAATTGGTCACATGCTTGCACGGTGGTGTGAGCCTGATGTAGAGATTCTGCAGCTCCTTGGACACCAGACCTGTTGGGCCTTTGTGGGTGGTGCACACTTGTGATCCTGCACAGGAAGGCAGGAGGATCAAGAGTTCAAGGTCATTCTTTGCTACCTGGTGAGGTAGCAAACCTGAGACAAGTGAGACCCTGTCATTTTTTGAGACAAGGTCTCACTACGTAGCCTTGGCTGTCTTGGAATTTGACCAAGCTGGCCTTGAACTCACAGGGAGAGCCCTATTGGCCTCTGTCTCCTAAGGTGTAAGCCACCATGCCAGCTGAGACCCTGTCTTTAAAGAAATAAAAATAAAAAAGAGGGATTCAAGGGAAGCAGCGGGGATTTAGCTTGGTTAGCAGAATGCTTATCTTACTTGCACAAAGCCCTGGGCTCCAGCCCCAGCCCCAAGCTGGGTATGGTGGCCCCACACGTGGGGGTGGGGAACCAGGATTGAACCAGTCAAGCTTCCTGACAACACGAATGTGAGTCTCTCCCTCAGGCCTGGTTGCTCCCTGCTAAGGCCATAGACTGACTCCAGGACCTGGGCTCCTCATTGGGCAGGTGATGAGAGCTATCAGGCCAGACGAGTGGGAAAGGGCACCAAGATAGGGTAGAGGATAGGAGAACAAGATGAAAAGGATTGGGAACTCGGGAGCATCATGTCCTGGCATGTTCCCAGCTTCTCAGGTCCCAGCTTGGGGAGTCACTGCCTGTTGACCCATAGGTGGTCAGGGGTTCTCATTCTACTGAGAGTTGAGCGCCCACAGTGTGAGGCTGGCATCAGGAGCTCAGTCTCTGGGAACCACTGCTGCTGCAGTCTGCTACGAATGACTGTCCTGTCTGACCCACAGCCACTTCTGAGTGGATCCAGTTCTTCAAGGAAGCCGGCATTCCCCCAGGACCTGCTGTGAATTATGCTGTGATGTTTGTGGATAATCGGTGAGGAGGCTGATGGGACCGGGAAACTGGGGAGGAGGAGGTAGGAGCTTGCTGGGCGGGGCCTCATCACTGTCCTCCCTGTAGGATCCAGAAAAGCATGCTGCTAGATCTCAATAAGGAAATCATGAACGAGCTGGGCGTGACTGTGGTGGGTGACATCATTGCCATCCTCAAGCATGCCAAGGTGGTACACCGCCAGGTAGGTGCTCTTCTGTGCCTCTGACTTCCTGGGGAAAGTGTGAGGCTGGAGGCGGCTGTTGTGGGGCCCGCTAGGAAGCCTGGCAGCAAAGGAAGGTGCAGTGTTCAGGGGTAGGTTCGTTCAGCTCTTTGCTGTGTGACATCGGGCATGTTGCCTGACTTTGCTGAGCCTTGTTTTCTCTGTCTTTCATATGCAGTGAGGCTAAATTAATTTTGTGTTTCTTTTTCCATTTTTCACGTGTGTGGTATATACACATGGGCACATATGGATTGTGGATGTTCACATGTGTATGTGTGCATGTGGAGGCCTGAGGTTGATAAAGGGAATTATCCTCAATCACTTTTCCACTTTATTCAGTGAGGCAAGGTCTCTCAGTCGAACCCAGAGCTTGCTGATATGGCTGCCAGATGCCTTGCCCCTCACAGTAACTTGTAGAGACAAGCCTCCAACCATGCCTCATCCTGGACCCTGCAAAGAGGACCTCCTCAAGCAAGAGGCATCAACTCAGTCGGAGAGGCGGCGAGCAAGACATTGTATTTTTTTAAATTTTAGATTGAGAATTAAAAAATATATATATGTATATATATATTGAATAGATGTGCGTGTGATGGATGTGTGGGCATATATGTTTGGTAGTCAGAAGACAACGCTGGAGTGGGTTCTCTCCATCATTTGAGTCCTAAGGATTAACTTAAGTCATGAGGTGACATCAAGTGTCTTTACCTGGTGGGCTATCTAGCCAACCCAGGGTGGCTTTCTTTTCGGCCACCAACCAGCTCCTGAATCATGACATGGAGACTTATTAGTTATGAGTGCTCGGCCTTATCTTGTGCTTGTCCCACTAGCTCTTATAACTTAACTGTTTCTCTAAATCTGTGTTTTGCCTCAGGGCTTTTTACCTGTTTTTCATTCTGTACGTCCTACTTCATATCTGGCTGGTAGCTGCCTCCCTGGCTGGCCCCGGGCATCTCTCTCTCTTTCCCTTGCTCTCTCATCTCTGCTCTCATGCCTAGATTTCTCCCCCTCCTTATTCTCTCTGTCCACTAGCCCTATCACTCGCTGCCTACCTTTTGGCCATTTAGCTTTTTATTAGGTCATTCAGGCACCTTAGGCAAGCAAAGTAAAACAGCAACCCATCTTGATAGTTATGCAAGTGCAGCATGAACAGATGACACATCTTTGTCTAGTTAAACAAACATCCCACAGCACAGGGTGCTTTGTTTTTGCCCAGAGCATAGTGTAGAGTTGGAGAGATGGCTCAGAGGTTAAGATTGCTCGCTGCTCTTCCAGAGAACCCAAGTTCAGTTCTTAGCACTAATGTTAGCAAGCTCACAACTGCTTATAACTGCACTTTTGGGGATCCCATACCTGTGGCCTCTGCAAACACCTGTACTCATGTACACCAACACACACACGCTTAAAACTAAAAATGGATTCAAAAACACCACCAGAGCAGAACAGACAGAACAGCTTCTTTTATTTTTTAATTATTTTTTTAAGACAGGGTTTCTTTGTGTGGCCTTGGCTCTCCTGGCACTAGCTCTATAGCCCAGGCTGGCCTCAAACTCACAGGGATCCGCCTGCCTCTGCCCTCCGAGTGCTGGGATTAAAGGTATACACCACCGCCCGCCTGGCAGAACAGCTTTTAAGGTCTCCACCGGTTGTGTTCTGATCCTCTGGGTGCTGCTCGGTTCTCTAGGTCCCCTGTTCTGGGCTAACCTGCTACCTCTCATTTCCAGGACATGTGCAAAGCTGCCACTGAGTCAGTGCCCTGCAGCCCCAGCCCCCTCCAGGGTGAGCTTCGCCGCGGCGCCGCTAGCGGTGAGTTGCGTCTCTTCAGTCTCTTCCTGTACATACAGAGGTAGAAGCAAAGCCATTGATGCCCCCTGTAAGGGACCAAACAAGCTAGGCAGGGAGTGACTGTTTGAGTAAGCCCCTTCGAGACAGAGAGAGAGAGAGAGAGAGAGAGAGAGAGAGAGAGAGAGAGAGAGAGAGAGAGAGATATCTCACAAGACAAAGTATCTGAGAAAGTTTAGAGGACATATTGTGGGGGTTAGTTCTCTCCTTCTACTATGTAGATCTTGATACTCAAACTTGGGTCATCAGGCTTGGCTATAAGCACCTGTTCCTTTGAAGTCATCTTTCTGACTTTTTTCTGGCCCTCAATCCCTTTCCTTTTTAAAAACAAAAAAACCAAAGGTTTATATAGCTGACACTGTCCTTCTGCCTTAGCCTCTTGCTTCTGAGATCACCACAACTGATATATTTCTTTTGGTAGTGCTGGGCGTGCAGTCCAGAGCCTGTGCAAGCTTGTCAGACTGATCATGCTCACTGCTGTTCCTTCCACTCAGCTACACCTCAGACCATATTCCCCCCCTTATTTATATATTCTCAGTCCATATTCCCCACCTTATTTATATATTCTCAGTCCATATTCTCTACCTTATTCATTCTCAGTCCATATTCCCCACCTTATTTATATATTCTCAGTCCATATTCCCTACCTTATTTATATATTCTCAGTCCATATTCCCCACCTTATATATTCTCAGTCCATATTCCCCACCTTATTTATATATTCTCAGTCCATATTCTCCACCTTATTTATATATTCTCAGTCCATATTCCCTACCTTATATATTCTTAGTCCATATTCCCCACCTTATATATTCTCAGTCCATATTCCCTACCTTATTTATATATTCTCAGTCCATATTCCCTACCTTATTTATATATTCTCAGTCCATATTCTCCACCTTATATATTCTCAGTCCATATTCCCTACCTTATATATTCTTTTGTCCTAATTTGTTTGTTGTTTGGCTTGTTTGTTGTTGCTTGGTGTTTGTTGTTGTTTTTCAGAACTTACTCAGTAGACCAGGCTGACCTTGAACTTAGAGATTCACCTGCCTCTGCCTCCCAAGTGCTGGGATTCTAGGCAGGCAAGCACCATCACTTCCCCACCAGGTAATAAAGTATGACAAGAAGCAACTTGGGGAGGAAAGAGTTTGTGCAGCTTACATGTCCTGACCAAGACCTGCAGGCAGAGGCCACGGAGGAATCACTGCTCCTCGACTGCTCTCCAGGCTGCATGCAGCTATCTTCTCTTTTCTTTTTTTCTTTCTTGAAATAGGGTCTCACTGTGTAGCCCTGGTTGGTCTTGAACTCATAGAGATCTGTTTGTCTCAGCCTTCTGAGTACTGGGATTAATTAATAGACATTGTTTCACTACACCTATCAAGTTTACACATTCTAGGACCAACCACATGCCAGGAATGGTACTACCTATAGTGGGGTAGGCTCTCCCACACCAGTTATCAATCAAGAAACTGTCCCCACAAGCTTGTCTATAGGCCAGTTTGATGGGGACATTTTTACCTCTTCCCTGATGCCTCTAGTTTGTATGAAGTTGACAAAAAAGCTAATTAACCATACTTATAAAAAATGTGTTTATTATTTACATTTCTTTATTCAGTGTTTGCATGTCTGGGGAGTGTTTGTGTGCCATGACATAAATGGTGGCTAACGGGCCCTTAGTTGTTCTCCTCTTCCACCATGTGGGTTCTAGGCATCAGGACCTTTACCCACGTTACTGCCTTTATTCACTGAGCCGTCTCAGTGGCCCCCATGTTCCTTTTTCAGGACACCTTCTTTACTATAATCTGTTGAGTCATTTGCTGAGCTCACAGCCAGCACCACCATGACTCATTCCAGAACAAAGCTTGTGAGCCACACATGTTCCCATGAAGCACATCGTGGCCTTTCTGTGCGGTGCAGTGTCACACAGCACCTTACAGTGTGCTGGGTGTCATTTAAAGCTATGCAGTCCCCAAGCAAAAACAAAAAAGAGACTGACCAGTTTTTATATTCCTAGCAGTAAGTAGACTGTGGGAAGACACTTAGGGGAGCTGACACCAGAAGGCCACAGGGTCTGTTGGACCCAGGCTGGGAATGCATGCTGGTGCTGGTGCAAATCTGTGAACAGCTACGGGAGTGCCAGGTGTGTTGGTGCAGGGGTTGTAGGGAATTGCAGTGAGCAGATGAGTGCACACAGACTGAAGACCTGGGCGACAGACAGACAGACAGCGCTGGGCTAGAACTCAACTGACACAGTGCTCACCTAACACACATGAGACCTTGGGCTCATCCCCAGCTCCAAACAACCCAGGCACTGTGGTACACGCCTCTAATCTCAGCACTCGAAAGTGGTAGCAAGAGGTTTATCATTTAAAGTAGGGGGTTGGGGAGATGACTCAGTAACTAAAAACACTTAATGCTCTTCCAGAGGACTTGAGTTTAATTCCTAGCACCCACAGCAAGTAGTTCACAAATGCCTGTAACTCCAGCACCAGGGATCAGACACCTTCGGGCCTCCAAAGAAACCTGTATGAACATGGCTCTCTCTCTCTCTTTCTCTCTCACACACACCTAAATAAAATTTAAAATTTAAAAGTAAAAAAGAAATTTAAAGTAATGAGTTTGAAGCCAGCTAGGGAATACATGATATCCTATCTCAGAAAAGAAGAACAGAAAAAAAAAAAGGTGGGGGGGGGGCTTGCAAAGGCTCTTGCTATGCAAACCTGGCAACCTGAGTTGTCTAGAACCTGTGCAAGTCAAAAGGAAAGAACTGACAGAAAACTTGTCCTCTGACTTCCACATCCGTTCTGTAGGGCTTGAGCCCCGGCTTCCCCCCAATAGAAATTATCAAGAAGCTGTACACTTTTAATCCCAGAACTCAGGAGGCAGAAGCAGGTGGATCTCTTGATAGTGAGGAGTTTAATCCCAGCATGTGGAGGCAGATCTCTGAGTTTTAGGCTCTCTTGATCTATGTAGAGAGATCTAGGCCAGGCAGGGCTGCGCAATGAGATTCTGTTTCAAGATAAAACAATGTGTGTGTGCGCGTGTGCGCGTATGTACTCGTCCTCAGCTCTCAAGTAAAGGTGGCTGCTGTGGTGCACATCTCTAATCCCAGGTGAGATGGGAGGCAGAGACAGTAGAATTCCAGGATGCTCACAGGCAGTTGGCCAGGCGTATGTAGTCAGTCATAGACATTTACTTCTCCGTTTATGAGTTTGCTGGCCATTGTGCTCGGATCCAGCTCACAGGTCTCTGCGGGTCTGACATCTAGGTTGAGGAATGGCTTCATCTACACATCTCATTACTGGCTTGGTGTCAGCTGGAGTAACAGAGGTGACTTGGCACCTTCCATCATGCAGCAAGCTAGCCTAGGCGTGTTCCTAAAAACAGCCTTAGAAGGCAGGCCCCGGCACTAGGACCTAGGGAGTCTCCCTGTTGTGACACTGCTCTTGTACCATTGGACAAAGCAGAGTCACAAGGCTGCAGGTAGAGTCAGTGGCAGGGCACACCCAAAGGTGTTGGTACAGGGAGGATGTAGAAATGAGACTTCATATCTCTAATAAGCCCACATCACATACAGAAAAGGTTTGGTCATAATGGCTTTGCTGGCTGGGGTGTAAGTCAGCTCTAGAGTGTCTGCTTAGCTTGTAAGGCCCTGTGTTCTAGCCTTGGCACTAACTCATTAAAGGCTCCTGAATAGCATTCAGTACAAGATAGCTGATAGCCAGCATCCCAAGCAGAGACAAGCATGGCTGTCCTAGGGCAACGACATTCCTGGCCACCAGGAGTATAGATGAGTTTTGCCAATCTTTAAAGGGTCTGCCCATAACATTTTCTGGGTGCATTTTTTTCTTCTCCCTCTCTCCCTTCTCTCCTCCCCCTCCATCCCTCTTTCCCTCCCTCCATCTATTCCTTCCTCCCTTCCTTCTAAGACAAGGACTCACTATATAGATACAGCCCTGACTGGCTTGGAATGCATGCTGGCCAAGTTAGCCCTGAATTTACAGAGATCCACCTGCCTCTGCCTCCCAAGTTCTGGGATTAAAGGCATGTTCCATCATGCTTGGCCATGCCGGGCGGGCGATGGTGGCGCACGCCTTTAATCCCAGCACTCGGAGGCAGAGGCAGGCGGATCTCTGTGAGTTCGAGACCAGCCTGGTCTACAGAGCTAGTGCCAGGACAGGCTCCAAAGCCACAGAGAAACCCTGTCTCAAAAAACCAAACAAACCATCATACCTGGCCTAAACGCCTTTTATAATTTCAAGTAACACAAAAAACCAAAGCTATACATGATGGCTCGTGTATAATCCCAATACTCGGGAGGCGAAGGCAGGAAGATTGCCTGGGTTATGTTGTGAGTTCCAGGCCAGCCCAGAGTGAGACAAAGTCTTTTTGTTTGTTTGTTTTTGTTTTGAGACAGGGTTTCTCTGTAGCTTTTTTTTTAAAAAAAAGATTTATTTACTTATTATATGTACAGTATTCTGTCTGCATTTATGCCTGCACACCTGAAGAAAGCACCAGATCTCATTACAGATGGTTGTGAGCCACCATGTGGTTGCTGGGAATTGAACTCAGGAACTCTTGAAGAACAGTCAGTGCTCTAAACCTCTGAGCTATTACTCCAGCCCTCTCTGTAGCTTTTGAGCCTGTTCTGGAACTCATTTTGTAGACCAGGCTGGCCTCGAACTCACAGAGATCCACCTGGGATTAAAGGTGTGCAACACACACCACCACCACTTGGCTGAGGCAAAGTCTTTATAAAGAAAAATTCTGTCAAGTGATTAGGACTGGGGGGATGGAGAGATGGCTCAATGGTTAAGACCAGAGGACCTAGGTTCAATTTCCAGCACCCACATGGCAGCTCACAACAATCTGTACTCCAAGATCTGACACCCTCTCAAAGACATATATACAGGTAAAACATCAATGCACTTAAAATAAAAATAAACAGAACTGTGGAACAAAGCATGTCATGGGTCAGGTAGCAGAAGCTAAAGGTGGTCCTGGTGGCATAGGAGGAGTTTTCTCTGAGGAGTAGACGTGATAAGCTGGTGCCTGGGAATTTGAAGATACCAAAGATGCCTTCCAGGTTCCTGTGCATCCTTTACATCATGAGGATGGAGCAGTCACAAGGTGACTGCCGCTGCTTCTTCCTGATTCAATCTAGTGCTTTCCCTTGGCAGCCAGGCTCCAATGCTGTTGGGTTGAGAACTCACTCCTAGACTGTTCTTCCAGAATTCTCACCGCCATTTTCCAGCCCCCTCTCCAGGGTACCCACATCACGACTGGACTCACTTCTTTCCTCCCACAGCTGCTTCTCGAATGATCACCAACAGCCTGAACCATGACTCTCCACCCCACACTCCGCCAAGGCGCTCGGACACCAGCAGCTCCAAGATCTCCGTCACCGTGTCCAACAAGATGGCAGCGAAGAGTGCCAAGGCTGCCGGTGAGGGCTCTTGGGCAGAATTGCAGGGGGATATGGGTGAGCAGGTGTGTGTGTGTGTGTGTGTGTGTGTGTGTGTGTATGAAAGAGAGAGAGAGAGAGAGAGAGAGAGAGAGAGAGAGAGAGAGAGAGAGAGAGAGAGAGAGTGAGTTTCAGAGACCACCCAAGGGTCATTGACCTCTGTGAACTTGATCGAGTCTTGTTTTTCTCTCTCTTTTTTTAATTGAATGTATTCATTTATATTACATCTCCTCCCCCATCCCCTCTTCTGTTTCTGTTCATAAAGGGGCAGGCCTCCCGTGGGTGTCAACAAAGCGTGGCATATCAAGTTGCTGTAAAACCAAGCTCCTCCCCTTGTATTAAGGCTGGGCAAGGCAACCCAGTGTGAGGAATAGGTTCCCAGAAGCTAGCCAAAGTGTTGGGGACAGCCCCTGCTCCCACTGCTCCACAAGGAGACCTCTTTGTTTTAACTTAAAGATTTATTTTTTAAATTATGTGTATGTCTGTGGTTGTGTGCTTGTGTGTACAAGTATCCATGGAAGCCAGAGAGTGGTTTTCCTGAAGCTGAAGTTATAGGCCATTAACTGTCTGATGTGGTTGCTGGGATCTGAACTTAGGCCCTCTGCAAAAGCAGTACTTGATCTTATGTACTGAGCCATATCTCTAGCTCCCTGTTACTGTTTCTAGAAGGGTAGTGGTGATGTCTTGATTTCAAGGAAAGTGGGAAGCTCTCCAAGATAGAGACCTGGCTTCTCCACTTCTTAGTAACTGAGGCTGGCCCTGAAATTGTTATATAGCCAGGAGGACTTTGAACTCCTGTTCCTCCTGCCTCCCATGTGAATATTCAAACCTCAAGCATGGATCACCACACCTTTTTATGCAGTGCTAGGGGATCGAACCCAGGGCTTCTGTGCATGCTAGGCAAGCCACACCCCAGCCCTCATCACTTCTTGCCTGCTGTCTTCCAGCTCTTGCCTGTGACCTTCAACCTGCAGCGTGTGCTTCTGCTTGAGTTTTTCTGACTACCCTCTGTCCAGGGCTTCAAGCTGGTAGTGGGACTCAGCAGCCTTTGGCCTCTCGAACTTTGCTGCTCTCTGCTGTGTTCTTGTCCCTTTGTTGCACCCATTCCCATTTCCTAGTGTCTTAAGGCACCTGTGGAAACTGAGGCCCAGGGAAAGGACTTCACTTTTCAGCTGCCCAGTAGTTCTCATCACACGCTGTCTGTTGCCACTGCGCTGGCTTTGTCTTTGCCGTGTGTGTGTCTGTGTGTGTGTGTGTAAGCACCTTCAACTAGAAGGTAAAATTAGTTGCTGGTTGTAGTGGCTCACACCTATAATACCAACATTTGGGAGGGTAGAGGCAAGAGGATTGCTATGAGTTTGCATCCAGGCTAGGCTACAAGCCCGAGTTTTTGTCTCATAAAAAGAAAAAAGATTCTGGGACTAGACTGAAACTAAATGGTAGAGTACTTGCCTAGCATACACAAAACCCTGGATTCAATCCCCAGCACCACAAATAATCTGTAAATAAAAGTAAGTAAGGGCCAGGTAGTAGTGGTGCATGCCTTTAATCCCAGCATTTGGAGGCAGAGGCAGATGGATCTCTGATTTCGAGGCCAGCCTGGTCTGCAGAGCGAGTTCTAGGACAGCCAGGGCTACACAGGGAGATCCTGTTTTGAGAAACAAACAAAGAGTAAATGTGAAAATCTAGATATGGTGGCATACACCTCTAAGTCAAGCATTCAGAAAGCAGAGGCAGGGATCATTTCAAATTCAGGTTTGGTTTGTTCTATATAGAGTTCCAGGCTAGAGTTACAACAGACCAAAAAGGAAAAACAGAAAGTTAAAAGTAGTTAATACAGTGCTGAGACAGTGGTGGCACATCCCCCTCCTGACACTGTGAAAGGAGTTCCTTTTTGTATTTGAAGTATAAAGTGTGTTAGAACATGCTAGAGTGGAGAAACGGAGGCAGGAGGATTACAAGTCCCAGACCAGTGTGGGCTACATTGTGAGACCCTGGCTTTGCAACAGAAAAGAAGTGTAACTTCGGGTTGGTGACACAGTTCAATCCCTGGGACCAACACAGTAAAGGGAGAGAGCACTACATGTGCACACACACATTATTCTTTCCTTATTTTATTTGGTGTGGATGTTTTGTCTGCAGTGTGTCTGTGCATCACATGAATGCCTGGTGCCAGCAGAAGCCACAGAGGGCATCTGGTCCCCTGGAACTGTAGTTACAGATGGTTGTGAGCTGCCGTGTGGGTGCTGGGAATTAATCCTAGGTCCTCTGGAAGAACAGCAAATATTCTTTAACCACTCAACCATCTCTCCAGCCCCAACACATAGATTTCAAAGTATAATTAATTCTACAGAATACCTAAACAGTAAGTATGGACCTTGTGCTTGTTGAAAAGTGAAAGCACAAAACGAATCGGCAGAAGGCACAAGCACACAGCTCTGAAGGCAGCACCGTGGGGTCTGAGGATCCCCATCCCAGTGGGTCCTGTAGTCTACAGCATCTGGGAAGCCACTGCCGCTTGCAAATCCCAGGCACATCTGTGGTTTAGCCACACCAGATGACTAATGTCCTCGGTGACTCAGTCTGGTGATGGGGGCAGCTGTGTACATGAACCATCCCGTCTCACAAGTAAGGAGATGAAAGTCACTGGTCTGCAGCTGGGCATTATCGTGCATGGCTAAAGCCCCTTCAGGGCTAAAGCAGCGGGATTGTCAGTGGAGGCCAGCCTGGGCTACAGATTGTCTTGTCTATAGCTAGGTTCCCCCAACATCCTCCAGAACATCTATCCCTGAAGGAGCTAACCCCATTTCTCCTCACCAGCTCTGGCCCGCAGGGAGGAGGAGAGCCTAGTTGTTCCTACCAAGAGGCGGCGGGTGACAGCTGAGATGGAGGGAAAGTACATCATCCACATGCCCAAGGGGACCACCCCCCGTACACGCAAGATCCTGGAGCAGCAGCAGGCAGCGAAAGGTACAGGCTGTGTGGGCTGCAGATGGGGCTCTCTTAGCTTGTTGCCCGGTGATGGTCTTCCCAGTAGGTGGGGCTCAGAGGGGAGCAGGTAACAGGGCCTTTGGCTAAGGGGACAGTGACCACAGAAGAATAGACTCCCTCACCTCTGCTGTCATCCTGCCTCATGTCTTGTCCCTGGAAGGCAGGGACAAAAAGACAGTCATGGCTGGCCTGGGAAGCAAGTGACCATACCTGGCTAAGGGTAGGCCCGTAGTGGACACCAGCACTGTGAGGCAAAGCAAGAGCTCATCTCCTGGAAGAATTCCAGATGATGCATGTCCTCTTCCTGGGTCCCATACCCATGGTGTTGTCCCTCTCTAGAGTAGGATGTATGGGTCTGCCTGTGTCACTGCAACTATGCCCCTAGAGAGGCTCTGCTCCATTTCCTTCACTTTATTTATATTTACTTAGTCATTATTTTGTGTTTTTTCCAGATAGGGTTTCTTTGTGTAACCCTGGTTATCCTGGAATTAGCTCTGTTGACCAGGCTGGCCTCAAACTCAGATATTCACCTGCCTCTGCCTCCTGAGTGCTGGGATTAAAGGCGTGTGCCAACACCACCACCTGAGCGGGTGGTTTATTCTTTTTAAATGATTGTTTCTGTAGTATTTTGGGCTATGACTCAGTGAACACTTTGTTAGTGGAATGTAGGGATTATTTATTATCTATTTATTTATTTATTTTGAGATAAGGTTTCTTAGTGTAGCTCTGAACACAGAGTGTCCACCCATCTCTGCCTCCAGAGTGCTGGGCTTAATAGCATGTGCCACCGCTGTGCCGCTGAGATGTAGGTTTTATTTAATAGAGGACTCAACACCATTCATCACGTTCTGCCAGTTGCCCACAATTGCCAGCATAAAAGGAACAAGTGGAGGTTAAGAACTCTTTACCCAAAAGCTGGGTGTGGTAGCACCTAGCTATAATTCTAGCTTTTGGAGGTGTAGGTAGGAGAATCAGGAGTTCAGAGCCAGCCTCAGTTACATAGTTCAACGTTAGCTTAGGCTCCATAAAACCCATTCTCAAAGAAACACTTTTCCTTCCACATCAGCTTAGACAGAGGCATAGTGATTTCAGGTATCAATCTTCATTGATTGTTTTACTTAGGGTTATTATTGCTATGACAAAGCACCATGATCAGAAACAGGCTGGGGTCTTAGAATTCAGGAGAAAAAAAAACAGGTTGGGGAGGAAAGGTTTATTTGGCTTACATTTCCACATCACTGGAGGAAGTTAGGACAGGAACTCAAGGAGGACAGGAACCTGGAAGCGGGAACTGATGCAGAGGCCATGGAGGGGTGCTGCTTACTGTCTTGCTTCCCATGACTTGCTCAGCCTTCTCTTGTAGACCTGATCAATCACTAAGAAAATGCCCTTCAGGCTTGCTACAGCCCATCTTACAGGGACATTTTCATAATCAAAGTTCCCTAGTCTTTGATGACTGTGGCTTGGGTAAAGTTACCAGTTCATTGATCTTTTCCAGATTTGACACTTGTGAGTTTGTGTGAAGGTCAACCTGAGCCTCCAGTGTAGTTGCAGAGCCTGAGCCAAGCCTGGTCTGTCCCTGCTAGGTCTTCCCACCTTGGTGTCTGCTCTGTGGGCAGCCTAGACTTGGTCCTATGGAACCACTAGGCAGGTACTGACTGCCTCATGGTGCCACTTCTCTCCCAGGTCTCCATAGAACATCCGTGTTCGATCGCCTTGGTGCTGAGACCAAAGCAGACACTACGACAGGGACTAAGGTGAGTCTGGTGTGCTGGGATGACTCACGTGACCCAGTGTCGGTCCTGTCAGTGTGCTGCTTGACCCCGTGTCTGTGTCCCAGGTGTCTGCATTCTCTTCCCACGTTTGAGCCCATGTTTTCTCTTTGGCTGTGGAAGACTTCCTGTGTGCCCTGTCTTTTCTCCGCTGATCTGTAGGCCAGCCCCAGTCCGTTTGGCTGCTAGATTTCTTTGTTCCACCCCCAGGTCCCAGCTAGTCTCAGGATCTTCTACTGTAGCTACTTCTATCTGAGCTTCCAACTCAGCGTGCCTGCCATCTGCATCCAGTCAGCTGAATGCATTCCAAGTCAGATGACCTCATCTGTCCATGTCTGCCACCTTGGCCTGCATGGGTGGATAGGGTCCCACACTTCTGCCATTAGCCCTCGTAGCCTTGTCCTCACAGTCACAGCCATGCTGCCATACGAAGAGGGAGTTTAACTTTTTTGTGAGTCTCATGTAGCTCAGGGTGCTCTGACACTGTGTAGCCGAGAATGACTTTGAACTCCTGCCTCTGCTTCCCAAGAGCTCAAATGACAGGCATGCACTGCCAGACCTGGCTTCTTTAGGACTGGATGTCTTTTGTTAGTCTCTCCTGTAGCCCAGGCTGGGCTAGAATTCATGATCATTCTCCTTCAGCTCCGTGAGTACTGAGATCACAGACTGGCACTTGTACTTCCAAGGTTTGTTTGTTTGTTTGTTTATTTTTCTCTCAAGACAGGGTTTCTCTGAAGCTTTGGTGCCTGTCCTGGAACTAGCTCTTGTAGACCAGGTTGGCCTCCAACTCATAGAGATCCACCTGCCTCTGCTCCCCTAGTGCTGGGATTAAAGGTGTACACCACCACTGTCTGGCTGTTTTTGTTTTTTTTTAATGCCTACAACACAAAAAAGCCTATTCTTATTGCTGTAACCAGCAGTTCCCTAGGCTCTGGGAATGGTGTGTGGTTAGAATACCCTAGAGCTCACACTCACTGCATGTATGGTCATTTGTACCTTAGTTCCTGAATCTGTAGTGTCAGTTCACAGGGCGGCTGTGGACATCAGGGGCTGGGACACAGGACATGACAAACGCTCCTTAGGTATCAGAGTGGATGCTATGGCTTTCAGAGTCTCATGCTCACCAGGGGAGAACTCCCTGTCTCTGCCCTCTGTCTTTTACCTCCCAGACTCTTACCATGATGGTGATGGTAACACAGGCCCATAGGACTGGAGGTCCAGCCATTTGAAGCTTTAGTGTGATCGTCACTTCTGCCTTAGGAACCGAGTGCATACTTTTTGCTCTGCTTGCTCATCTTGAAAAGCCTGCAATTCCTGGCATCTCTGAGAAGACCTGATTGTGCCTGACTTGCAGCATGCTACTCCCTTCAAATGCTGGCAGTGACAGACCACATCCGTCATCCCAGCACTCAGGAGACAGAGGCAGGGGGATCTCAAGTTTGAGACCGTGGGCTATGTAGTAACCCCTGTCACAGAAAGTGAAGAAAAAGAAAACTCATGAAGACACGCTGTCCTTCATAGCACGTGACTGACTGTTGAACTTGTAGAATTAGTGCAGTTATTTCTGATGCTGCCTACTCCACTGCACGATGGCTCCAGGAGGGGCTGGCCAGGGTTGTCCTGACCAGCACAGTATCCTCAACACTGTTCACCCTAGGCCAGGGTACAGTGTCTGCTAAGTAAATGACCATGTCAGGGGTAGAGAATGTCCCAGCTATGTCTAAGGCCCTGAATTCTATCTGAGGCATGACACAGTTAACAGCTTAAATGGCTGGAGAATGTTTCAGCGCTCACCCTGCCCTAGGCAGTGCCCTCCTGTTTCTCCCTGTCTTTACTGAGTCCCTGCCATTCAGCTTTCAGAGCTCCAGTGGCCTGTGCTCTCTCCTAAGGAACCTTCCTGAGCCCCTGGCACAGTCAGGTCTTCCCTGGGCTTCCTAGCTTCTGGTCCCCTCATGACGCTCACCCTCACAGAGGATGGCACTGCCCTGCACGCCGACTTCTTAGAGGCCAGCATAGAGTAGGCAGCCTGCCGAGTGACTCAGTAGCCCACTGCCTCTCCTCTCACTCTACAGCCCACAGGAGTCTTCAGCCGCTTAGGGGCCACCCCGGAGATGGATGAGGATTTGGCCTGGGACAGTGACAATGACAGCAGCAGCTCTGTCCTGCAGTATGCTGGGGTCCTAAAGAAGCTAGGACGGGGCCCCAAGGCCAGTCCCCAGCCAGCACTGACTGTCAAAGCCAAAGCTACAAGCTCTGCAACCACAACAGCTCCAAGACTGCGGCGCCTGGCGCTTCCCTCTCGTCCTGGACCAGAGAAGAAGCCGGAGTCCCTCCCCAAAGTCAGTGTCCTTCAGAGACTGGGCAAGACTGCTGTTGTGGCTGAAGCCCAAGACAGCCAGGTTACAAGCACCAAGAGTAAGTCCTCAGCTGAGGTCAAGTTCGCCATTAAGAGGACACTGGTAGGGCCCCGGGGGAGCAGCTCTATTGAGAGCCTTGGTGCCCAGATGGACCATGCAGGCGCTGTGAGCGTGTTCAAAAGACTGGGCCGAAGGACCTTCTAGCTGGCACGCAGGGTGGGGTGCAGCATGCAATGGCAGGCAGGTTCCTGCTTCCGTCCCTTCCAGCCTTCCTGCCTCCCAGCTCTAGATGACACAAAGCCTGGCTCTTTCCAGCATTCATGCTGGTTCCAAGCACTTGGGTACACAGACGTTTCCCCTGGTTTTGGATGTTCCTGTGGCCTGACCTTGCCTGCTCTGCCCCCCCCCCCCCCCCCCCCCCCCCCCCCCCCCCCCCCGTCCTCTGTGCACTAGCCGTGGCCTTGGCAGATTCTCCTTTTCTACCTCTCCCCAAAGCCAAGTGCCCTGCCCCTTCCATGCCACCCACCCCCACCAGCAGCATCTGCTGCCTTATGTCCTCCTGTCCTGGCTGCCCAACCAGAGGTGTCACCTGCAGGCACCCCCTTTGCCCTACCCTGTGGCTTCCTTCCTCCCCCCTCCCCCTGCTGTAGTGTCTCTCTTCTCTTCACTCTTTTCATTTCTCTTCTGTTTTCTGTCCCTGTGGCAAGGCCCGACCGTCCGCTGCATCCTGCCTGACCCTCCTGCACCTCTGACCTCCCAGCGGCCCCCTCGTCGACGGTGGCGTCGAACCTGTAAAGACTGTTAGCTGCCTTCCATTCCCAGGCTGGAGGGAGGCCCCCCATCCTGGCCTGCAGCTGGGGCACCTCCGTTTCCCTGCCCTGGCCATCTTTTTCCTTGGTGGGTGGTGGACAGCAGACACCGGGGAGGAGAGGGATGCTGGGGGAAGGTGACGGCTGTTTTAATATATTTTTGTGACTTCTAAACTGTCCTTCCCCCTCCTTCAGTGGGAGTCACAGGTCTGTTCTTCACACCTCACCAACACAGCTAACACCCTGGGGTGGGGCAGGTGAAGGGCATAGTGGTGACAACACCGGAAAGCGATCTCCTATCCAAGCGGATGGTCTATACTGGCTTCTCCGTCAATTTCACCTGTCCTGCCACACTGCCTATGGGTGGCTTGGTTTTATTTGAGATAGGATCTCATTATATAGCCCTGGTTTACCTGGAACTTGCTATGTAGATCAGGTTGGCCTCAAATTCTCAAGAGACCTGCCTGTCTACAAGTGCTGGGATTAAAGGCTTCTGCCCTCACACCCAGCTGGCTTTCTTCCTTTTTCTTTCTTTTTTCTTTGAAACTCAAGATGGCCCAAACTTGATATATAGTTGAAGAAGACTTGGAATGTCTCTCTTTTAAAAAAATAATTATTTTGTGTATATAGATATTTTGCCTCCGTGTGTGTGTCAGGCACATGAGTGTCTGTTGATTCCTATGGAGACTGGAAGAAGATTTTGGATCCCCTGGAACTGGAGTTAAGGATGGTTGTGAGCGCCTATGTGGGCTCTGGAAACCAAACTTAAGTCCCTGTAATAGCAACAAATGCTCTTAACCACTGAGCCATGTCTTCTACCCCTACTTTGAGTTTCTAATTTTCTACTCTCTGCCTTGGGACCTGTGACAGCATAGGCCTGTGCTGCCATTCCAGGGTTGTGTGTGGTGCAGGAGACTAGGCCCAGGCTTTACATTGATACTCTTGTTGGCCTTTTTCTCTCTGCTTTCTTTTTGAGACAGTGTGTTACTGTGTAGCACAGGTTGACTTCAAACTCAGGATTCCCTTGCCTCTACCTCTGGACTGAAGCAATTTACAGGCATGGGCCAACTACTAACAGCCTCTCAGCTGTCCTGAGATGGTGCTGCCCAAAGAAACAGGGCCGAGGGGTGAGACTTGGCCAGTACCACTGTCATTGTATAGTCAGAAGATTTTGATGTGACACCATTGGGTGAACTGGGGATAAGAAGAGGTAATTTTTCAAACTTCAGAAGAACATTCTGACAGAAAGACAGACAACGGCAAAGGCCTTGAGGTGGGGCAATGACCAGGAAGATGGCTGGCCATGAGTACGGTGTGGCTGCTAGTGGCAGCGATGGAGAACGAATGGGAAGAACAGCGTGGGGAACAGTTCTAATTCACTGTGTAGAGAAGCCTGGTAGATTGGGTATGTGTATAATTCCAGCTTCTGGGAGACTGAGTCAGAGGCGGGGGCAGATCTCTGAGTTCAAGGCCAGCCTGATCTACAGAGCAATATCCAGGACAGCCAGGACTACAAAGTGAAACCGTATCTCGAAAAACCAAAAAGAAAAATATAGTCTTCTCTCATACATTATATATAAACTAAAGTTTCCCCTCCTTCCACTCTTCCCAGATCCCCCAACTTACCTCTCTTCTCCCCTAGGTCCACTCCTCTCTTTTCCTTCAAAAACAAGGATAGGTTCGAGACCAGCCTGGTCTACAGAGCTAGTGCCAGGACAGGCTCCAAAGCCACAGAGAAACCCTGTCTTGAAAAAAAAAAAAAACAAGGATAGGTCTTCCAGGGATATTGCTCCAAACATGGTATAACAAATCACAATAAGACAGACCTCAAGGCTGGACAAAGCAACCCAGTAGGAGGGAAAGGGTCCCAGTCATAGGCAACAGAGACAGCCCCCTATTCCTACTGTTGGAAGTCCCACAAGAACACCAAGCTACACAGCCATAACATATGCAAAGGACCCAGTTCAGACCTATTACAGGGTCTGTGATTGTTGCTTCAGTCTCTGTGAGCCCTTACAAACCCTGCTTAGTTGATTCTGTGGACTGTGTTCTCATGGTATCCTCAACCCAACCCCTCTGGCTCCTACAATCCTTCCTCCCCTACTTTGTGGTTCCCCTGTCTAGTGTTTGGCAGTGGGTCTCTGCATCTGCTCCCATCAGCTGCCAGAGGAAGCCTCTCTGATGACTATTGGGTAGGCACCAGTCTATTAGTATAGCAGAATATCATTAGGGATCATTTAATTGACTTTTTTTCCCAGTCATGTTTGGTTCTGTCCTGGATCTCTGGGCTATCCAGCCTCTGGGTCCTGCATCTAGCTTGAACCAGGTGTGGGCTCCAGAGGGAACTTTTCTGTTTATTTTTCTTCTAATGCTGGGGATCAAATCTAGTGTCTTGCGCACGCTAACAGCGCTAGCAAGTGTACCAGCTGTCAGTTTTTAAGCATCTCCTTTTAAATCCTTCGTTATGTCCAGGAGGTGGTGGCGCACACCTTTAATCCCAGCACCCAGGAAGAGCTAGTTTTAGGACAGCTGGTACTGTTATACAGAGAAACCTTGTCACACACAAAAAACAAATAAAACAAAAAAATCCTTTTTTATTTAAATTTTCTAGCACATACTTTTTTAACATAATTTTTTATTGAGTCTTTCGGAATTTCATATCATGCACCCCCAATCCCACTCATTTCCTAGTCCTTGCATACCTGCCCTCCACCCTTGTAACCTCCCAAAACAAAATAAGAAATAAAAATTAGAAAACAAAAGGGCAAACATACAAACAGTCATCTCACAGACCCTGTCACCTGCCCTCCACTTTCCTGACTCCCTCATGTACTTGCTGGACGTCATTGTGCTGGCATTGAAGTGGGGTGTGCCACACAGGCAGACTCTCGGTTTCACCACGCTGTCCTGGATGGGGGGGGGAGGCTGACCTTGAGACTGAGCCTCCTCTGCCCTCCAACGCGCTGGGATCCTAGGCAGGAGCCACCACGTCTCATTAAGTATTTGGAGGTTGTAGGTTTTCTTTGTTATTTTTGTTGTCCCACCACCACGTGTCTAGGGGGGAGGTGTCAAGTCAAAGGACCACTGTGTCCTGGAGTGGTGTTGTGGTCACATAGAGCTGGTCGAGTGTGGTGGCAAGTGCTTTCACCTTACCAGTTCTTTTCTTTAAACAAGGTTTTATTTTTAAATTATGTATACATGTGTGTATTTATGTATGGATTGCTTATTACATGAATATGCTGTCTGCAGATAACAAAAGAGGGTATCAGGTCCCTTGGAGCTACAGTTGCAGGCAGTTGTGAGCCACCTGATGTGGGTGCTGAATCCTCTGCAAAAAATACTCTTACCCACTGAGCCATCTCTCTAGTCCCTCTTTCTGGTTTCCTGATTTTTCAAGATAGAATTCCTTTGTGTAGTCCTGGCTGTCCTGGAACTCCCTCTGTAGACCAGGCTGGCCAAGATCTGCCTGCCTCTGCCTCCTGAGTGCTGGGATTAAAGGTGTGCTCCACAACTGCCTGGCCCCTCTTTCTGTTTTTAAGATAGGGTTTTCTGAAACCCAGTTGGTCTCAAAGTTACTATGTCATGATTCAAAACTAATAGTGTGTGTGTGTGTGTGTGTGTGTGTGTGTGTGTGTGTGTGAGAGAGAGAGAGAGAGAGAGAGAGAGAGAGAGAAACAGAGAGAGAGATATTGATTGATTTATTAGGAAGGCTAGCAAGTCCCCAACAATGGCTACCAACAGGTTCATGAAAACAGCTGCATGTCTCAGCTGGTCTTCAGTATACACCAGAATTCCAAAGAAGTTGGTTTAATGGCAGTGAAGGAATGGACTTGCCAGAAGAGGGACAGTAAGCAGGCAAAGAGCAAGCTTCCATCTTCTTGTCCTTTACAGAGACTGTCAGCAGAAGGCATGGCCCAGATTAACAGTGGATTTTTCCACTTCAAAAGATCTGGATTAAAAATTGGTCTTTCCACTTAAAATAATTCTTCCCCTCCACCCCAAGACAGTTTCTTTATGTAGTCCTGGCTGTCATGGAACTCACTCTGTAGACCAGGTTGGCCTCGAACTCACAGAGATCCATCTGCCTCTGCCTCCCAAGTGCTGAGATTAAAGGTATCCACCACCATAAATGTTTTAATTAAGAAAAAAAAAAGCCCTCAGCTGTGTAGTGGTGCATGCCTTTAGTCTCAGCACTCAGGAGGCAGAGATAGGTGGATCTTTGTGAGTTCAAGGTCAGCCTTCTCTATAAGAGTTCTAGGAAAGAGCTACTCAGAGAAACCCTGTCTCAAAAAACGAAAAAGAAAAAACAAAAATCCTCCACAGGTGTACCTAGCCTCTTGGTTTTTAGTTAATTCCAGGTGTAACCAAGTTCACATCCAAGAAAAGCCACTGTTCCTCCTGAATCCATCTCCCTAATGCTGGGATTATAGTATATGTACCACTGTTCCTGGCTTAAAATTTCATCAAGTCTTTTTCCCCCCCTGTGGTACTGGGGTTTGAGCCCAGGGCTTCATACATGCTAGGTGACTGTGCCTTCTTCAGTCAGGGAATACTGTGATGTCCTGCTAACCTGGCCTCTACGGGAACAGCCCTGGACTTGCTGCTAAAGCCCCTGTGGCACAGAGATGAGGAACCGTTGTGGTTTGTGGTCCCAGCTCATGGGAAATGCTCATCTATTGGTTTGGCTGGGGCTTACTTTGATTTGCCTTCCTCTAAACAGGAACTCATGTCAAACCAGGGAAGTCCTCAAAAACTATCTGTGCAAATCTGTTGGCATGGTGTTAAATTTGGCAGAGTATGGTAACACCGCTGACTGAAGCACAGCCATGAACGTGAGAGCCCAGCTTCTCTGCTGTCAGGCCCGTCACATTGCTGACGCGGATCACCTGGCCTCCGCCTCCATCATGCATAGATGGTCACTGAGCCAGCTGTGTCAGGAAGGGTACGTCCTCATGTTTGTCCACTTCATCCTGTAATTCTTGGCTTCTTGGTTTCACCTCCCCAATTCAAGATTTGGTTGCTTTTGGAGCTCAGTGCCATCCCCAGGGCAACCCTGACTAGTCTGGGTTCTTTCTTTTCCTGGCAATAGGGGACTCCCAAGTCAGGCTTAGCACCTGGAGCTGGGGTGCTCTTTAGGCTCAAACCCTATAGCAGCTTCCCAGGCTCCAGCCCTTCCTTTAATCCCCAAGTTTTGTAGGCCTTGTCTCTGGCCTTCCTGATGACAGGAGCCCCTGCTGCTACTGCTCTCTGGCCCGCTTTTACTTCTATTTAGTCCTCCTTTCCTTCCTCCCTTCTCCCCGCCCTCTGTTGCCCACCCTGGCCTTCACTCACTTTGCAGCTGAAGCAGGCCTCTACCTCCTGAATGCTGCAATTACAGAGCATTATGCCCGGCATTAATTTTTTTTCAAGCAGTGTTGGAGTTTATTAAGGAAACTGTGTGCCTCGTGTCCTGAAAGAGATTTACAACTTATCAGAGTACCTTACAGCATCAGCTCCAACAATTGTTGGTCAGGTGTGCAGTTCCACACTTTAGCCTGACTGGTTTTCATAGCTCTTGCCTTCTCCACTTTAAACTTTACCCTCATTTCAGGATCTGGGAGATGGGCTTGGGGTGTGTGTGTGGGTCACTTCATCACCTTGTTCCTTTTTTTCTTTCTTTCAGGGGGAGGTTCAGTTCAAATTAGGGTTTCTGTGAAACAGCCCTGCTATCCTGAAACTTGCTTTGTAGACCAGGCTGGCCTTGAATTTACAGAGATTTGCCTGCCTCTGTCTCCCAAGTGCTGGGATTAAGGGTGTGCACCACCACTGCCCAGCTACTACTTTGTTCCTTTTTCTGCACTTCACTCTAAGAAAAAAGGGAGAAAGGCTTTTGCTCTTGCAGGAATAGCTGAGTTAGTTGGAGGTGTACTTGCAACTAAGCGCAAGGGCCTGAGTTCAAATCCCAGCACATAAACACAAATGCAAACACACACACAAATAAAACCAACTTGGAAGGTTCCTGAGAACCGGCCGGCGTTGGTCTCCAGCACCTACAAACAGTCACACTTGCACATTTGGCCTTCCATATTCGTGCAAAACAAAAGGTTTTCAGGCAGTTGAGGGCATGGCTGCAGGAGAATCACGAGTGTAGAGACTACCCTACACAGTGAGTGAGACTGACAACGAAAATAAACTACAGTAGGGTTTGAGAGGCCAGCAGGGGCATTAGGCCCTTGGGAAGACGATGGCATATGGCCAGGTGTGGGTATGGATTCGCAAGTCTTTTATTTTGAGACAGGCTTTTACTGAGTTGCTCAGGCTGACCTTAAACTTTCCAGCATCTTCCTTCAGCTTCTCCGAGGCTGT